GGTGATTCATATTCTATTTGACACACAGGAGACAGTCAAAAGTAATAGCTACAATTCCTCTTATCTACCAGACAGGTAAGGTTCTAACAGATGCAGACATAAGAGGACATCTAGCAAACTCCAGGCACAATGATCTGAACTAAAACGTAGCTTTCTCCATTGACCACTCTATGCATTTCTTCTAAAGCCACTGAAGATTCCAGAAACCCTGGGTAACGGGGGAAGGAGATGGTAAGAATATGATAGTCTATTTTCTGACATAAAAATTAACACATAATATATATGTCAAAAATCTAGTAAATTAAAAGCCAAAATAGAATATTCATTCACATACACACACACTCTCAACTCTGGCAAGTTGACAAAGAACCTCAATGTACAAGCAAGGGGTCTGTTTTATTATGCACCTTCTACTGGGGGAGAGGGGAAAGCACATTAACTCTAAAATCCTACCTGCGGGAAAACTACGGCAGTGATTCTCTACTGTTTTCTACCTTGGTTGGTCCTTAAAGCCTATGGTAAATGCAGGCTTTGAAATTAGTGTCAGGTACTCAACACTCCCTATAAAAAGACAGGCACTTTATGTCTCACCAACTTAATCCTCCCATTTGATTTCTATTGATGTCTGAAGAAGAGGGATCACCTTACGGTGACCCATTTCAGAACCAGATCTCCAGGAACGCGCTTGATTTCAAAACAGAGCATACTCCTGGCCAGTATGTCCATTATTTAGCGATTGCTCAAGTAAGAGAACGCCAGCATTTCTACTAACAAATCCAAAATGGCAAAACTATGCAGAGACTGCTCAGCAGTTGTCTTTTCTTTCTGCTGATCTAATCATAATCAACATCATTTCAAAGGTTTCCAAGGAAACAGTATAAAACACCTGCTTACTGAGCTACTCTAATGCTTCTTAAAAATCCTATATACATATTTTTATGTAAAAATTTGCGTAATAAGAAACTGCCCAGGGCTGGAGAGATGGCTCAGCGGTTAAGAGCACTGACTGCTCTTCAAGAGGTCCTGAGTTCAAATCCCAGCAACCACATGGTGGCTTACAACCATCCATAATGAGATTGGATGCCCTATTCTGGTGTGTCCGAAGACAGCGACAGTGTACTCATAAATAAAATAAATAAATAAATCTTTAAAAAAAAAAAAAAAAAAAGAAACTGCCCAAACCAACATGAACAGTGCAGATATTTCTACTGTACAATTAGGTATTAAACATATGCCAGAGAAAGGAGCCCCAATATTTTGAACCTCTTCAAATCTTGAACATTCACAGCAAAGTAGTACATTCACCCCAATGACTTACAGAAGAAAGTTGAATCAACTACTTAAAACACTGGGGGTCCAAACTTTTGCATTCACCATTTCTTGAGGAAAGTGCATGGAAGCATCCTCCTATAAGCGAAATTGCAATCCTGCTTAAAGATCCTATAAGCGAAATTGCAATCCTGCTTAAAGATGCACGTCCTGGAGGCTGGAGAGAAGGCTCTCTAAGTTAAGAACACTTGCTGCTTTTTGCAGAGGACTCAGGTTCAGTTCCCAGAACCCACACGGTGACTCAATGCCATTCCACAACTCAAGCTCCAGAGGCGCAGACAAAAAACATTCATACACATAAAAATAAGTAAATTTTTAAAAGAAATGAGCATCCTGTGTGTCTGTGGGTGCAACAACAAAGAATAAAAATCAAATTGCATGTTTTATGGGAAACAAGCACTAACCAAAATTATAAGCATAGTAAATGTGATAACCATCAATCTCCTATCTTCCCTTTATACAGTTAACTCACCCAACATTAAAACAAGAGTTCCGAATTTGTTAAGCTTAGACCACCCCAAACTAGACACAAACCTATTTCTGTAGTTTTAAAGGTGGGATAAACTAAAAGCTCACCTGCTTTGCTGAAGAAAAGCATGAATTGCTTTTTAACTACTTCTCAATTCACTGTCACACTTTTTTTGATTGACTGTTAGTCTATTTTACATATTATTTCAAATAGTTAAAACCAACAACCGTCTGGAAACCCTGTACTAGCCACACAAGCAATACCAGTTTGGTTTCTGGCAAGTTCTAATTAAAACTACTAAAAAATCCTTCACTGCATGATAATCTGAATTACTGCTTGATTCTTATTTGGTCAGAACTCCTCTTGCCCTAAGTCACAAATCAGTGACATTCAGAGGCACTAAGCACAGCAACTGTCATGGTCATCAAGTCGCTCCCTCATGCATTTACCTTCTCCAGCCTCTCAAAGTATTCCCGAAGGAATGCCATGGGCCTGTCAGGCCGCACGGTGCACAGCTGCACGATGGAGTCCTTCAGCAGGGCCTGGATGTTGTGCTTCTGCACGTAGAGCTCGCACTCCCGGAGACTCCGCTCTTCCTCACTGGTAGCCATACTGCCAGACGCCATGGTTCTCTGAGAGAAAAAGCACACGCGTGCTGAGTAAGCTATAAAGCACAAATACAAATTTGGGCCGTGACTTATTTAAACTCACTAGACAGTAGATTCATATATTTCTTTTCCTTACTCAACAGAGTTCATGTTTAAAGAGGAGGTGGGGGTTGGATACGAACTATCCCAAGGTTCTACGTTCTGTCTCAGCTGGGTAGGTCACTCAGAGAAGACCCTTAGCTCCTAGGAGAAAGTATGAGCCAGTGTGCCCTGCTGAGCAACTGAGGCAGTGCTGAGGCCCCATGGCCTTAAGGGAATTTCATTCAGCTCTCTTGCAAAATACATCACGATGATGACGTCGGAAATGTGTAAATGGTAAACAGGACAGAGAATTGCCAGGGCACACAGGTCGGCTCTAAGTGAAAGCACAGATCACAAAGAAGAACACCTGACATTCCCCTGTGTGCACCTCCCATCCCATGAGCGCAGCTAATGTCACAGCAAACCACAAGGGAAAAGAAGCTGATTAGCCAAATATTAGTGGAATCGAATTTTCTGAAACACAAAAAGCAGCCTCGGGTGCCTTTTCTCGGCAATCTTTTATTCTGTTCTTTTACCAAATCCCAGCCCTTGACTTAGTAATGCAATTACCGTCAGAAAGAGTTGAAAGACTGTAGGACAGGAAAACAAGTAATGTCTAGCAGGCAAACTAAGATTTTCTTCATCTGGACAAAGATATGCTAAAATACACTGGTTTAAAGTTTACAGGATGACTCACTAGGTAAGACTGAATTTGAACGACATTAATGTGAACTAGAAACACTGTAATGCGCAGCCAACCTGCCTCAGAATTAAAAGCTCAGTACTTAAGCAGCCATTCGTTTTCCTCCTAGCTCCTAATTACTAAGCACTTGAGATTAGAAGATGACTCCCTCTCCCCTCTGCATACCAAGTCAACATAACCAGTCTTCAAACTATAATGCTCAGACTCACCAAGGTTTGGATTTAAAAAAAAAAAATGCCAGAATAAAGAGCCATTTTTAAAGTGCTGCACTAATATTTTGTTTTGACAACTTTCAAGATAAAGGTCAATAATAAGCAATCAACTGACCAGGAGAAAGTTTGCAGCTCCATGACAAGCACAGAAATTAGAAACACAGCCACACACACACACACACCACTGTTAGTTCAGAATAAACACAAAAGGGAAGATTTTTACTGTCAGGTATCATTTGTTCTGGCTGTGCTTCCAGGTCAAACAATCATATGAAACAAAGAATCCACTTCAGTGGAATTTTCTCCATTTCAAATACTGAAGGTCACCAGGAATGTGGATAAAAACAAATTACGCTCCAAAGCACCCAGTCTTATTTCAAGAATGTCAGCAGATATATTTAACTGATCAGAGAAATCCTTCTTAGATCTGGTGAAAAATGGTGTATGCATTACAAAGACCAAAAGGCAGGTGCTGGTAAAGAAAATACAAACACTCCCCCAAATTACTGCAGTCATCATGTGAAACCCCAAAACAATCTAATTTTATAGCCTTAGTATTTTTAATCGGGTATGTCTTGATCCCGTGTCTGTACTTACTTTTTAAAAACCCAACAACTTAGCTTCCCTCCAAAACAAACACTTTAAAACCATCCATCGTCACTGCACCGAGTATTATTCGTAAGAGGGGAGATTCTTGAGGAAATTCGGTTCCGATGAAACTCTCGCTTTCAGGAGGACTACACTGGAGGACATATTTAAAACGCTTTGAGAGCCTGTTGCTGACCGGGCCCACATCTCCTGAAGGATGCCAAGTAACACTAGCACCGCCTTGGGGGTCAGCATCTAATGCGACCTTTCGTGTCTCTGCTCTAGAAACCTATCTATCCTGGCTCCCTCAAGTCATCGGCTGTCCCCACCCCCGCGCTGAGCTGGAGGGGTTAACAGGCGTCGCGTATTTTCACCAGGGAGGGCAGGAAAGTGCCCTTCACTTCACTTAGGCCACGGTCACGGTCACTGAGTGCAGAAAGACGACCCCTCATCCCCCCACCAGGCAGGAGGCTGCAGACGTTGGGCAGGAGGCCTGGGAAGGCTGGGGTGGGCGGTGGGGGGTGGGGGGGCTGGAAATCGGGAAAGGACGAGGAGTGGGAAGGGGGACAAAGGGAAATGGATCTAGGCTGAAATCACCGAGTGGAGGGGTGGAGGGAGACGAGCCCGCGAAGAGGAGGGGGACCCAGTGCAGAAGAAACGACCGGGAAGGGATGAAGACTATAGCCGAGTGGCGAGACGAGACAGAAAAGCCATGGCGGATTCTGGTTAAAAAATCGAGCTGTTGTCCTTCAGGAAGTGGGGGAGGGAGGACGGGCGCGGAGGCCGCGGCGCGCGGGGGCGGAGGCGGCCAGGGAGCCGAGGGAGGCCGAACGCAGCGCAAGACCGGGGATCAGGAGACGCTAAGGCCGGGGGCGAGATGGCGGGGAGCACGATCGGCCTAGAGCCCCGCGGGGAGCGGGGCAGGTACGGCCCGGGGGACAGTGCGAGGCCTGCGTGAGGCACCGAGGCCGCCTCCGAGGCGCAGGGGGTGCGGCCGGCCCCCCGCAGCGCGCTCCCCGGGGCGCCATCTTGGCTCGCTCCCGCGCCTTCAGGAACGCGCGGCCGAGCGCCGCGGCCGGCGACTCTCCGGTCAGGCCTCGGGCCCGCACTCACCTGAGGACGGGCGGCGGCGCGGGCAGGATTAGCGCAGGGCGAGGCTGCCGGGGTACCGAGCGTCCAGAGAGCTCAGCTCGCAGCCTCCCTCCACTCTGCGATAGCGGCTCCGCGACGGCTCCACCGGAAACCAGCCGACCGCGGCCAATCAGCGTTCGGCTACTGACGTCAATGCGCCTCTCTCTGGCCAGAGCGGTTGCCTTGGCAACCTTAAAGTCACAGACGCCTAGGTTCCTCCTCCGCTCCCCACTACCACCACCAACCACCACCAACCACCACCACCACCCCATCAGTAGCCTGTCGTCGTCTAGCTAGAACCTTTCTCTTGCACGGCATCTCTCCATCTTATCTTGTCGCGTATACGCAGCCCCTTCCTGCCTTCCATCTTTTCCTTCTCTTCCCGTTAACCCATTTCTGTCTCCTTTGTTTCACTTGCCCCTTCCTTACCAGGGGTGGGGGTGGGGTGGTCCTCTAGATTGTCCTGCTTTTGGAGATCTCGGCCTCTCCTCCGTTCCTCAGGGGGCTCTTGCGTCTGCCTCCCTCCACGCCTCTGCCTTTTCTCCCTCCCTTCAGCCCTCCTCCCGCAGACCCACGTGGGACGTTTCGGTGACAGGTGGGCGACTCCGCCCTGGGTCCTATGGGGCGGCGGAGGGGGGTTGGTTACAGGACGCTGGGAGGACAAGGAGATTCTTGCTGTTTTCCAGCCCTTGGAAGAGGAGAAGGCCCTAGGGGATCTGCCAGAGCAGAGCGCAAGCGGATGCTGGGATGCTTCTGATGGACAGAGTGCGCATCCTGTGTAGACCCCCCTCCCCGCAATACCCAGGGTTCCGGGCTCGGCCTGTCATCCGGTCCAGGAAATCTGAGCCTCTATCAAGCCTCTGCATTGCTAATCTGACTGCTGTTCCTCTAGTGAGCTGCCATCAATGGAGGCCCCCTCACAGTGCCTACAGAAGCACCAGACATAAGAAAAGACTTCCAAGAGGAGCTGATAATGCCCTATCCTTCTATCATGCCAGACGGCGTGATGGGCAGTACAGACAGACGGACAGATCAAGTCATTGACCTAGTAAGAAATCTGAGCTGCATGAAAAAGCAGGAGAAAAAGAGACTTCGTTATTCCTTCAGTCAACTTTCCCCTTAAGTATGTGACGATGAAAGCAGGGGAGACAATTTTAGGCATATGTAATTAAATAAATAAAGTAGGCCTAAATAAATACATAAATAAAATAGGCTCTTGCCGTGTATGGTTCGGAGGAGCTGCAAGTTGTTAACAGCCTGCCTCCTCGTGTATGTTCATTCTAGGGCAATGTGTGTAGAAAATATCATGAATTTAACACTTCATACCAGAAAGGGTTACAATATCTCCTGCATAATTTTCACACTGATCCCCAGTTAAGATATTTGGGCTAAATGGTGTTTGGAAATTTCACCTTTTTAAAGCCTGTCATTGTCCCCGAAAACCCAAGGCTATGATAAGGGCTCTGAGTATTAGTTATGATTACCCCCCCAGTAGTCAGAGAAAGGAAGGGGGAAGACAAGGAAGTTGCTCCCTCTCCAGCATGTTGGCTATTGGCTTTTTTTTTTCCAGAGATGGATAGAATGGAAGATAAAAGACCTAGACTCAGTCATATAGGCTTTCACCCTCTCCAGTGAAGAAAAAGGCTGATGTACTCAGCCCTAAGCTGGCAAACAGGAGAGGTAATTTAATAGCACTGAGCCTGCCTGGTCGTGTTCTGAGGAAAGGGGGAGGGGGAAACAAACACTGCAGATAAATCCGAGTTTGTTTGCAGGCTCTGCCATCTCCAGTGATGAACTTAATCTCCTCCAGACTCATTTTCCTCCGTCCTGAAGGGATAACTGGGAGTGTATTAACATCGATTAATAAAAGCAAACAAGTATAAAGCACCTACTATGTTTGTAAACCACCCTAGGTGCTTCAGACAATCTGATCATCATTCTATGATGTGATCGTTTCGGAAAGAACATGACACAAGAAGTTGAAAGACCATAGTTTGCGTGGGTCAAACCCAGGCAGTGATTGTCAATCAACCTCCTTTGCAGCATGCAATACACACACACACACACACACACACACACACACACAGCGCCCCCCATACAATGTAGGAAACATTAAATGAGAGTTTTCTTCCCATTCCTCTCCCTTCCTAACTGCAAGGTTAAGTGTCAATGATTTTATGTCCAACATTAGTGTTACCTTCCTAAGGCAGCTAAGCCAGGTTAGAAGAAAGAAACGAGCAAGCTGGTGACATTGAGCCTGATGTTTGGAGTGACAGCTGCTTCCCTGCTAAGACCTGGCCGTGTGTCCCCCATTCAGCTGCATGCAGGCACCAGTCCAGCCACCACCGTTTCCTGTGTCAGCCACAATCCACCTTGTTCTGGCTGCCAGATTCTCATATGCTAGGGCTTTAGAAGACAAAAAGGGAAATGGGCAGTGGATAGTTGAGCCCGGGAGGGTTCATCGAGACAGCTGTTGTGAAAATCCAACAGCCTCCGGCTTTCCAAATGGCGCAAATGTGCTTGCAATGTCACTTGGCCACTCTGAGAATACCAACCCGTCAATTACATGACAGAAGCAACAGTTGTCTGACTGTAGCATCTTTAAGATTTCCCTTCCCCAGAGCCCCTCTACCCTAGACTCAAAAGCTCTGTCATTTATTTTCTTTCAGCCTGTGTCATTAAGGAGCTTACATTTCTAAGACAGTAAGTTTGTAAGTAAATTTTGTTCTTTGAAACAGAATTCCGCAATTGCTATCACAATGTTTGTAGAACAAACGAGAAAATAATTTCCCTGGGACATGTAGTAAACAAAAGCAAAAGAAAACTGTAGCACAGAAAAAAATGGAATATGAGAATCTAGAGAGGTGTCTCAGTGGTTAAAATCGCTTACTGTTTTTGCAGAAGATCTGGGGTCGGTTCCGAGCATGCACATTTCGGCTCACAATCTCCTGTAACTCCAGTTCCAAGGGACCTGACACTTCTGTTCTCCTCAGGTAAGAAACATGTATGGGAGAGCTCCGGCCATGCACATTTTATGCATTCAAGCATATAGGTACTCACATACACCTAGATTAAAATAAATCAATCTTTCTTTTTTAAAGAATATGGGCTGGGACGATGTCTCAATGGGTAAAGTGCCCAACAAGAGTGACAACCAGATTTCTTTTTAGCCTCAGCACCCATTTTAAATACTGGGTTGACTTAATAGTGTACCTGTAACCCCATGGCTCAAGAAGCAGAGACAGGAGATCCATCCCTGGAACAAGTTGACCAACTGGAATAGTTGAATCAGTAAGGTCTGTGATCAAGCAAAAGACTCTCCATAGATGAGGTAAACAGGGATTGAGGAAGACACCAAAAACAGCTACACACACCACATACATCTTTAAAAGGACTCCTCTGGTGGGTCATTTCTTAATGTTTCTTATGCTTAAGGTTCTATTGACTAAACACAGATCCATAAACAACCAGTTTCCAAGGAAAACTTTACAGACTGTTGCCACCTAGTTGGGGTATGCACTGGTCTGGGTATTTATACTTCCTAAGGGACCTTAAGTTATGATTTCGAATATAACTCAATTCCAGCACGCAGCCCAATGCCAAAGGTTGTCCTATTTTTTTCTCCCAATGGAAAGTAAGCTGAAAGAGGAATGTTTATCTTGTTCATGTACCCGAACCACTTAAAAAAGGATAGCAAGCTTGGGCCTCACCCTAACGAATGAGTTCCAAATAAACCTATCTTTACCCCAAACATATTTCCATCCAAAATAGCATATTGAACTCCACCATGCTCAGCAACAAGAAGGAATTACGTTAGTGGGGGTTCACCAGAGAACTGAAACCCATAGGGTATGTGGACAGAGATTTATTTTAAGGAAGTGGCTCACACAACTGTGGGAACTGGCAAGTCTCAAATCCACAGGGCAGGTGCAAGACAGTCCGGCAGGCTAGACCCAGGGAAAAGTCCCAGGCATATCTCTTCCTCAGTCTTTTAAGACCTTTAACAAAGCAGATAAGGCTCACCCATGTTATGATTGGAGGGGATCCGCTTTATGTAAAGTCTTTGGTTTGAATGCTTATGATATCTTTAAAGAAAATTTTATGACATCATCTAGACCAGTAGTTCACAAGATGTGGGTGGCAACCCCTTTGGAGGGTTGACCAAACCTTTCACAGGAGTCATAGATCAGATACCCAGCAAGCAGATGTTTACATGATGATTCATAACAGTGGCAAAATTGCAGCTATAAAGTAGCAACAAAAGTAATTTTATGGTTGGGGGTCACCACAACATGAAGAACTGTAAGGTTGAGAGCCACTGGTCTAGACTATGACCTACCCTGGTTAATATCAAGTTAACTCTCACAAGCATGTATCCAGCAGCCCTGAGCAGGGAACTCAAACAGGGGCCATTGTTTTCAATGCATTGCTCTGCCCAGGACTGTGACCACCACTGTGGAAGGCAAACACAAACAAATCTCCTCTAGAAACTAGAGGAGAAAATGAAGAGGGAAAAGAATTTTTTAAATTACTAAATTTTTTAAAATTATTTTTTATTGGTTATTTCATTTATTTACATGTCAAATGTTGTCTCCCTTTCTGGTCTCCCCTCTGCAGCCCTCCCCCCATCCCATCTTCCTCCCCTTTGTCTCTATGAGAGTGCTCCCCCTACCCACCCACCCATTCCTGCCTTAGTGCTCTATCATCCCCTTACAATGTGGTATCAAGCCTCCACAGGACCAAGGACCTCCCCTCCCATTGATGCCAGATAAGCCCATCCTCCAGTACATATGTAGCTGGAGCCACCGGTCCCTCCATCCGTACTCTTTGGTTGGTGGTTTAATCCCTGGGAGCTCTGGGTGGCCCAGTTAGTTGATATTGTTGTTCTTCCTATGGATCCCCTTCAGCTCCTTCAGTCCTTTCCCTAACTCTTCCATTGATGTCCCTGTGTTCAGTCTGATGGTTGGCTATGAGTATTTGCATCTGTATTGGTCAAGTGCTGGCAGAGTCTCTCAGGGGACAGCTATACCAGGCTTCCATCAGCAAGTGCTTCTTGGCATCAGCAATAGTGTCTGGATTTGGTGTCTGCAGATGAGATGGATCCCCAGGTGGGG